TCTTTTTTTATAGTAGTCTTTCTAAATGAGGTGAGGTGACATCTTGTTGTGGTTGTGATTTGCATTTCCCTGATGATGAATGGTGTTGAGCATTGTTTTCATATGTCTGCAGGCCATGTGTATGTCTTCTTTTGAGACATGTCCACCTATGTCCTTTGTTCACTTTTTGATGAGATTATTATTATTATTTTTTGCTGGAGAGTTGTTTGAGTTCCATGCATATTCTGGATGTTAATCTCTTATTAGATGAAGAGTTTGCAGATATGTTCTCCCATTCATCTCTTCACTGTATTGATTGTTTCCTTTGTTGTGCAAGAGGTTTTTAGTTTTGTATCATCCCATTTGTCTATATTTGTTTTTGTTGCCTGTTCTGTTGAGGTCTTCTCCAAATAATCTTTGCCCAGAGCAATGTCCTAAATCATTTCCCTGATGTTTTCTTTTGGTAGTTTCATAGTTTCAGGTCTTACACTTAAGTCTTTAGTCCATTTTGAGTTGATTTTTGTTTCTGGTGACAGATAGGAGGTTAGTTTCATTCTCCTATATATATGTATCTAGTTTCCCCAGTACCATTTATCGAAGAGACTGTCCTTTTCCCAATGCATGTTCTTGGCACTTTTGTCAAAAATCAGTTGGCTATAAATATGTGGATTTATTTCTGGGTTCCTAGAAATAATATTTTACCTATTATATGGGCATTCCTTAGCCCAGTCAAGGTGGTACATAAAATTAACCATCCCAACATATATATGTACATGTATGTATATATGTCAAGTATATGTGCATTCACATATATCATATATGTGATATATATGTAGATGAGTATGTGTATATATATCATATATACACATTCTATATGCATTATCAACAGGATCAATGTAAAGCAAAGCATTAATTTTTAAAATTTTGATTTGTCTCATGAGTCTTCTATCACTCTTGTGGCCATCCAACATAGTTTTCTTACTATTCTGTTTCAACATGTGTTGCAGTGCTACTCGGAACAAACAATCATAAGCACTTTTTGAGAAATTGTTCTTGAGTCTCAACTGTCATCTCACAACATGGACCATCTAGGCTTCAACCTCAGAAAAATTCCTGTATGTTGCTACCTTTAAAGACTTGAGAAAATATCCTCTCTAATGGTCAGGACTTCATAATGCACAAATCTTATCTTTTTGAAAACATGGGTTCATCCAGTTGTTAACACCACATGTGTCTCCAGGCAATGTGCTGTCAGGCTGCTGAGCCAGGCTTCCTGGTTGTAGGTCCGTTGTGATGACTCCTGCATCCTGGGTCTGTGGTCTGCCATTTCAAAGGCATAACAGGTCCTGTCAAACAAGCTGAAGGAGAGAACTGCTGGTTCTGCTGGGCCTGACTGAGTGCAGCTCCTCAGTCTGAAATGAAGAGCAAATACAGGTAAAGATTGGCATAAAATGGCTAAGATAAGGTGGCTTCCATGTGCCCTCTGTCCTGTTATTCCTCATGTCTTTGGCTTCTGTAGAAAATGAATGCCAATTGTCTAGAGTTGCATTGTGAGAGAGGGAGGTGACAGTGATGACATGCCAGCAGTGTGGTCTTTTGAGTAGGACTGTTCAGTGAACCTTCTATTTGTTGTTATGAAAAGGGCCTTAGAAGCTGACACAGAACCATCGTCACCACTAACACATGTCTACACTGAAGAGTTCCACTGCCTTTCTTCAATTGTCCCTCATTTACTACCATTTCTGGGAAGATTTTGACAACAGTTTCCCATTGGATTATTAAGCAGGAGTTTTGACACTACATTGGCCTCAAGTTTATATCAACACTACCCCTTCATATGATATATATTTTTCAAAATCTTTTATTCATTATTCATGAGTCAAAACAAACTAAACTTGTCTACTTATAACAGGATTTCTTTTGCAATTGCTTCGTTTAGAAATAGAGCCATTTGTGGTGGTTTTGAGATACATGGAACAGAAAAGAGCAGACTGCAGCTGATTTAACTTCTCTTCTGTCCAGATGAGTATGTGAGTCTCAGAGTGAAGGCTAGAATTCACCGCCATCATCATCAAACATAATTTGAAGCACTCTTTGCATACAGTTGGAATGAGTGACCATAGGCTCAACTCAGTGTTTCTGGGAACTATTTTGAGGCATGGGGGTTGGCCTGCATCCTGCCTTATGTCCAGCACAATGCAAGGTCAAAGATAGATTGGTTAGGCCCATTAATGAGCTTGTAGTATAAACTAAGACTTCTCAAACTTTTCAAATCATGCAAACTTAAAAAATGATAATATTTTATGGTATTTGTATAAATGGATACAGATGCCATTGCCACTGGCCCAGGAACTATGAATCAGGGTCCCACATGGCTGCCATAAGGGCCAAGGAAAGCACTCCTATGACCCTTAATGGCACAGTATTGCACATTTGCCTGCCAGTTGAGAAGCACTAACTGGAATTACTTATACTGATGAGCCACAAGTGTACCTGCTGAAAAAATGCCATTGCCTATATGATATTTGAAATATTCCCTAAATTACTGATTACATTTAAATATTCAACAGACGCTAAATTCCATTGCTGACTGTTCTTTGTGAGGTCTACCACCTCAATTGACCCTGAAGACACATAGATATTACAGAGAAGGGAAATTTATCCCAAAACATGTCAGGTTTTTCTTACTATTAGATGCCTCTAAGCCATGGACCCACTGTTTTCAGAGCAACCAGAAATCTGATAGGACTCTTTCTACTTAGGTATCTCCAATTAGATAAATCTCAATCAAATTCAAAAAGTAAATCAAATGGTCCACTGGACATGGTGGCACGGGAAGAGACTTGTAGGGGAGATAGCTAGATAGTGTTGTCCAGGGTTTTTTCAGATCATTGCAGCCTAGTAGCTTTTTAAAATGTAAGTATTAGTAGTAGACTCAAGCACCACCCTATAAGAGAGCATTGTACAAGGATGTCTCTCAGAAGAAGTTTAGCATCTTTAGTCAACTGTGGCTGCTGTAACAAAATACCATTAACTGGGTGGCTTATCAACACCATAAATATATGTCTCACAGCTCTAGAGGCTGGGAAGCCCAAGATCAGGGTGCCAGAAAGGTTCAGTTCTGGTGAGTGTCCTCGTTTGGGTTACAACTTCTCTTTGTGCCCTCATGAAGGAGGCAAATAAACTCCCTCAGCCTCTTTGTACAAATACACTAATCACATTTGTAAGGGCTCTATCTTCATGTCTTAATCATTTTCCAAAGGCCCCACCTTTTAATGTCATCATCTTAATGGGGTAGAATTTTAACATAGGGATTTTAACATAAGAATTTAACATAAGGACACAAACATTCTGAAGATAGGATCTAATGTTCTCGTCCTTCAAGATACGAGTCTGGAGCCACTTCCATTTCAAGGTTTCTTGCTATGCTTTCCCAGAATCCTCCTTCTCAAGGAAGCATCTTGCTCTTCCTTTAATCCCAGCCCTTCCTGAGTTGTATGGCGATTGCTTTTTCAGAGTACAAAATCCTTAAAAGCAGGGTCCAAGTCTTATGCACACCTAAATCCATAACATCTTGCAAGAACCCAATAAACTGGCAAATAAATGAGTAATAGATAATGTAGAGTATGAAATTTGGGGGAAAATTTAGTTTGATTGTATGTACTTTAATTCATTATGGACAATACAATCAGCTGGTCTAATAGACTAGATATGAGCTGCCACCAATTTACAAACATTGCTTTTTAAAAGTTTAGTTTATTAAGTCACTTGCGGAGAACTCGGAAAGTATTTCTTGGAGAAACATTCTTATATGTGGCGAGTAGGTTCCCTTCCAAACTATAAAAGTAACTGTCACTGAGAACGTCACCAAATCATAAGATTCACAGAGCAAGGCTAAAATCTGAACCTGTTGAGTAGGAGGCTCAGAATGCAGAAATGAAGTCAAAGGGTCTGTCTGCTCTCATTTGTGTAGGTTGGCCCTTGGAAATATTTTTAAAAAAGGAATATTTGATAGTCTGTTATTTACCTATAAATCAAAATGTATCTGAGCCAGGACTTAACTAATTTAGAGGTTTATTTTACAAGGTCAAGGACCATGGCCTGTGATGCAGCCTCAGAAGGGCCTGAGAACATGTACCTAAGGTGGTCGGGGTGCAGCTTGGTTTTATACATTTTAGGGACACAGAAGTTACAAGCAAAGATATAAATCAATACATGTAAGGTACACATTGGTTCAGCCCAAAGCGGGTTAGGGGTGTTGCGGGGAGGCTTCCATAGATGGATTCAAAGATTTTTCTGACTGGCAATTGGTTGAAAGAGTTAAGCTATGCCTGAAGAGTTGAAGTTGGCATAAAGAAATGCTTGAGCTAAGATAAGAGGGTTATAGAAGCCAAGGATCTTGTCTGCAGATGAAACCTCCAGGTAGCGGCCTTCAGAAAGACTAGGTGGTAAATGCCTTAAATGTCTTTTATCTGACCTTAAAAGATATGAAACTCTCCAGAAAAGACCTAGTAAGGGAAAAGAGAACCATTTCAAAATACATCAAAAAACACATTTTGGAGTAAAATACTTTTAATTTCCCTCAAGGACCTCTATCTATCATGTGATGCTATATCAGAGTCAGGTTGGAATTTTGTATCTTACTGTTAGGAAGTGTCTCTTTTGTCACTCTTATAATCTTTATTTTATGTTAATGCTGGTCAGTTGTGCCTAAACTCCCAAGGGAGGAGGGTATAACAACGCAGAGTGTCCAACCACCCTTCCTGTCTTGGCCTGAACTCGTTTTTCCGGTCTCTTTGGGATCCCCTTGGCCATGAGGGGTCTGTTCAGTTTGTTGGGGGCCTTAGAACTTTAGTTTTTGTTTCCATATCTTAGGACATTATTTTGCCTCATCCCAGATCTGTCCTATTTCCTAAAATACTGCGCTTTAAAATATACCCACGTTAACCCCAGTCATAATACAGATTTTCTCACTCAACAAGACTCAAGTATGCAGAAGACAAGCTGATCACAACGAATCCTACAAAGTGAATGACTTATTCATGAGATGCTTGCTTTAAGTGGTGATTGAGGTTAATCCTCAAAACTGCTCTTGATTTCCACAGATTTTTGCCTGGCGTTGAGCATCCACAGATCCTCTCAATGCCCTGTTATTTCATTCGGACTTTCCTGGAAACAGAATGTGAGTGCTGCCTTTAGCCTGGCAGGAGTGACCCTCTGTGTCATTCCTGGATCATTTATTTATAAGCCACAGATGGGCAAGTCTGGTACTGTCTGTGCTCAGGAAGGCTGACTAATGCTCCCGCCCCAAGGCAGCACAGGAATGCAGATCCCTGAGCCTTCAGAAGGCAACTTCTGCCCTGCCTGCGAACAGCCTAGGGGACGGGGGAGCCACCCTGGGGTTTGGAGGCTTGAGCTAATGACATACAGCCGCCTGGCTGCGGTTACCGGCTGCTCTGCCAAGGTTGTACAGCTGGTTGCCTGTGCGTTGGAAGATACCAATGCCCCCTGCTGTATGCTGGGTTGCCAAGGGGAGCAGCAGTTCCAGTGGGTTTTAAAAAGAGCACAATTTATCTTTTCTCTGAGGCAGACTTGTTTCTTTGCTTGTGGCAGGTCCTGCTCAGCTCAGGTTGTGGTTACGTAAGTGTTGTAGAGGGAGCCATCTGTCTTCCCGGGGGGGCAGGGCTGATTTATATGGAAGGCTATCTAGACAGTGGCTGGTGCTGACATAACTTGGATTTTGCTTCAAACTTGAACTTCTAGAATATTCTGTACTGTGTTTTCTTCTTCGAGTAGGAGAGCATTCTGTATATCTTTTTTTCTTCATTTTTGCCTGGAGTGTTTGTTTACCATAGAGCTGTATAATATCATACACATTTGTTTAACTCTCTTAATCTCAAAGGAAGATTGTTTTTTGCCTTCTATTTGCTTCTCTCTCTCTACAGCTGCCAGAAGTTCTTCAAGTTTATGCTTTTATTAAATATTTAAGCACATATTTTCAGGGATGAAACATATTCTCGGCTCAGAGCTGTGCTAGCAGATGTGGTCTCTTCTGCCGTGGGGTGCTGGGTTCGTGGCAGGCTTATGAAGTGACCTCATGTAATCAATGGGAAATAGAGAGATGGGAGGTGTTATGTTATTTGAAGCTTCAGACTGGCCCTTATTCCTAGAAGGCACTTGGAGGTCAGCAGCAGTGTAGTGATATGCAATTCCAGGGTCAGCACCACAGAATGAAAGTGAAACGAATAATACATGCTGATTTAAAGTAAAATGTGTACCTCCTGAGAGAAAATGGTGACATTTAAATTCTTGCAACCCAGGCAGAAATCTTTTATTCAGTGAATGGCTCTGACCAGCAAAGTTTGCAAATGAGAACTTCTTTAACATTCGTGTGGCATGGTCTAACGCCAATTAATTGTTTATGGAGCACCTGCCATGTGCTCAGGCTGGTTGTAGAGAGGAGCTGGTTTCAGAAATAGCATCAAAAATGGCCTCTGTGACTTTGCCAGAATACTGAGGGCTGAATCCAAGCCTGTTAGATCATGTTTCTTCTGAATCCCGCACTTCCCCTGACTGCGGCTTACAGGGTAAGTGGTAGTATCTTTTAAAAAGAAGAGTACAGCACAGAAGATGCATTAGGCAGGGTTTCCAGAGAAACAGAACCAGTCTAGATGTTTGTAGCTAACCCTTGAGTAACATGTGTTTGAAACTTCTGGGTCTGTAGATTTTTAAAAATAAATATATTGGAATTTTTTGAGATTTGCGAAAGATTGAAAAAACTCACAGATAAACTATGTAGCCTGGAAATATTTTAAAAATTAAGAAGTTAGGCATTCATGAATGCATAAAATATATGGAGATATTAGTCTATTTATGTATGTGTTAATGGACTATTTATGCTATTAGAAAGGCTTCCGGTCAAGAGTAGGGTATTAGTAGTTAAGTTTTGGGGGAGTCAGAAGTTATAGGCAGATTTTCAACTGTGCAAGGGATTGATACCCCTAATCCCTGGGTTGTTCAGGGTCAACTCTGTCTGTATCTCTACAGTTGACCTTGGAGAAACAAAGGATTTATTATACACTGAGCCATTTCATAATCAAGTATTAGCTCACATGATTATGGAGGCTAAGAAGGTTTACCCTTTCTCCTGGTCTGGGCATTTATAGGTGGTTGGTAATCAGTCTTCCAATACAGCACTAAATCCGACCTTGTGTTCCAGAAAAGAGTAAGCAGACACCTGCTCTCATTTTTATACATGAATTTCTGTGGAATGAGAGTCCCACTTTCTCCTTCCAGTCTCTCAAGAGACTATGTTTTGCCTCTTATGTTCACTTACATAAATAGGTACCTAGAATGTGCCACCAAACCTTCTCCAAGTTGCCTCTCAGCCTAACCATCTGCTACCTCTCACCTGTCGTTACACTTCTTAGTACTTGTCTGCCTCCCTACCTTTAATTCTTTTTATTTCACTGCTGGGCTTTCAACTTCTGGGCCCTCACCCAAAACACACACACCCACCCACCACCCCCCCCCACACACACCTGAACACACACACACACCCCAAGCTTATATTGTCTCTTTGTAAGAAATGTAGTGTACCTTTGACCTAATTCCCTCTTTGCCGCTGGCTATTCAATCATCTTATAATTTTTTTCAATCTTCTTTTCTAAATGATTGACGTCCCCATGAAAATTACAAATATTGCTTTGAGTTCAAGTATCTACTATTTCACTGTTTTGCTTATTTTTTTAAATTTCAAATAATCTGTTGCCTCTTCCTGGAAGAACCTAGAAAATTCTCCTTCTGGATCAAAACTGTTACTCTAAAGTTATGGTTTCTCTTCATGGACCAGCCTCCCTACTCTCAGCTTCTTGCTCTTGCAAGTGACCACCTTTCTCCAAAATTCTGAGAGTTTTATGGACAATTCTGGGCCTTTCCCATGATGCCAAGCTAGCAGATTTTCACATTTGATACTAGGTGAATAATTTAATCACTTAGCATCTTTTTAAAAAGACCAGAGTTAGTTTTATGCACAACATATGTTAAAATAAATTTAATTTCACACATAGATATACATTAAAAATTAATTTTCCTCACAGTCCCTGATTACAGTTTATTTGAGAAGACTAGCACACATATATTAATTCTGGTACAATATAAGGGTGCTAAGTTAGGTGCTAACTCACATGGTACTGTCAATGAGAAACCAAGGAGTACAGGGAAGTGTTAGAAAACATAAAGGCAGTAGGCAGAAGGAGTGTGGGGAAGTATGAGAAGAAGTGAAGGAAATTGGCTGGTCACTGGAAGTTGGTCCGCCTAGGCATGAGGTATACAAGACTATCTCAGTTCTTCACTGGACTGGGAAGGAATGATCTTTGAGGACTAGAAGAATTTAAATAGGAGAAGGAAAGAATGGAGAGTGTGTAGGGAGACAGAACAATCAAATAGAAGCAAAATTTAAAAGCAGAGATATGTTTCTGTTTTAGGGGAGAAGGACACTGGGGATTGGCTGACAAGCACATGGCAGGAAGTGATGAAATAGGGTTGAACAAGCAGAGTGAGTCCCAGTAATGCCGGGCCTTCACCATCTGAAGTCTTGAACTTCAGAGGCTGGGGCAGAGGCATTATGTGTTGAAAGTGATTATGAAGAACTGAGTATGGAGAATCTGAACTCAGGAGTTGGGGACAGTGGGGAGGTTATTCTAATTACAGAGTCATGAGACAATGAAGTTCTTCAATAACTTTTTCCTTAATAAAAGGCTTGAGAATATTTTTCCTCCTAGAATTCCTTTTGATTAAGATGAAACTTGGGGTATAGGTACAATTGGAATAAGCCCTTTTATAAAAGAGAGCAATAAGGAGTTGGTTTGCATAGACACAAAGGAATCGTGTTTAACTTATCCTCTGCCATTTTTCAAGTGCTCTAGAGGCAGGGGTGGTAAAGGTAATAACAGGTTAGAGTTACCATTTAGCTACATACAACCACAAAGCAGTGAATATTAAAATCATGCTTTCTCTTCTTGTTCCATTTTCCTATATGTCCCCAGTTGTATGGACCATAAAGTGAGCTGACCTCACAAAGGGATAGAAAGAAGTGATGTGAGGTTGCTGAATGACTTAAAAAAAGGTATGGTCAAAAATACAATTCTTCAGAATATGTAAGGAGATACAATACCTTAATCTTCATTTTAAGGTATTTTATCAATATGTCACATGTATATTATTATCATGGCACCTGGTATTTGTTTTTAAAAGGTTCTAGAGTGCTGTTCTTAACAGTTTTCAGAATGGCATTCTAGCCGATCGCCTCTTAAAAATGAAACATTCTTCTTAGAGTGTAGCCTTTGTCAGCAGTAATATGGTAGATTTTTTTTTTTTTTTTTTTGAGATGAGGTCTTACTCTGTCACCCAGGCTGGAGTGCAGTGGCATGATTTCAGCTCACTGCAACCTCTGTCTCCCGGGTTCAAACAATTCTCTTGCCTCAGCCTCCTGAGTAGTTGGGACTACAGTTGCACACAGCCACGCCTGGCTAATTTTTTTTTGTTTTTGTTTTCGTTTTTAGTAGAAACAGGGTTTCACCATGTTGCCCAGGCTGGTCACAAACTCTGAGCTCAGGCAATCTGCCCACCTTGGCCTCCCAAAGTGCTGGGATTACAAGTGTGAGCCACTGTGCCCAGCTATATGATAGATATTTTGAAGAACTTTTCATCATTAGAATGTAGGGGGGCAGTAATTGATTAGATATATGAGTAAAAGGTAGAAAGATGAAAGAGGCAACACCTCTTGGATAATGAGGACAATGAAGATTTCTATGACAATGAAAGTATTCTATTTCTATGAGAATAAGGCAAACTGGGGAGAGTAATGGCACTGTGAGAAGTTGATTTGTCTTTGTTACACGAAGTTAGTGGCAATGTCAGGAAACCCAAGCAGAGGTGTTCAGGAGGCATGCCCAGTACCAAAGAGTGACCATTCTTGATTCTTGACCTGCTATTCCTGAGTGGGGCAGAATCTCTGTGCCCGTTGTGTTGTTCTTACGGAGTAAGTTGTAAACACTATTTGAGTGATAAATGAGATATTTGAACTGGTCACTAACGCATATATAAATACATATGTATATATATATATTTGTTTGTAAAGGAATATACTAATATTAAAATAACTGGCTGACTTATGAGCTCTACCTTATATGTTTGTCAATATTAAAAATACATAAAATAAATGTTTTCAGTGTTAGCTCAGCAAGCCAGCAACAGTTTTCTACTATGTGATCTACAAATCTCAATCCAGTGGGAATGGAACTAATATCAAATAGAAAATGCCTTTCCTGAAATCCTTCCTGGAGCATATCAGTAATACCAAGAAAAGAGCCAGTAAGCAGAAACAGGCTGCCAGAGTCCCCACTGAGGGTCCACAGTTGGAATGAACTTTCTTTAATGAAAGGAACCAATGACTTGGGCCAGGCCATTGTAAATAATTGCAGAGCGTCTCAGACTTTTGTCAGAGCACAATGAGAAAATGTAGAAGAAATCAAGGAGAAGTTTAAAAAACAGTAAGGGAAATGAGTAGCAAGGAGGATTTAGTCCCTTTTAATATAGTCATGTGAGGAAAATATAATATCAGAAATCCAAAGACTGGAGACGTTATCTGGTGAAGAGGATACATTATGTTAAATATCAATACTGAAGCATTAGAGTCTAGATATATTTAAAATAACAAAGACTGAATTTGTAAATTTATGTTTGTCATTATGCCTAGGTGGGTTTGGGGCTTATAATTTGGAGGTGATTCCTGTCCATTCAAGAAATAATTTAAAGACTTGAAATTTAGCCAATCTATTCTAAAAGTAATTAAAAATTTATTATCTATGGAAATATTTTGAATTGCAGAGATCAAAACGTGTTTTAGTAACTATGTTGAAAAGTAAGGAACCCAATGATTAAGAAACAAGTCTTTGAAGGAAAGGAAGCAAATCCCTAGCAGGCTATAAGCCCGCAGCCTTGTACCGTAGAAACCAACCTTCTAACGTGTCTCTAAAACTAATTTGCTCAGAGTCGCATAACCATTACGAGTGGAACCTAAACTCCTATTTTCTGATTCTGAAACATCAATGTTAATTTTTGGTCCCCTGCCTCCACTTTGCTTTCATCTGTAGAGCACATTGGAACAATCTGCCTCTGACCTATTCTGTCATTGTCTGATCATCTTTCAGAGCAGAACTTGAGGTGTTTAATATTCCCTGCATACATCAGTTTGTCACTCAGAACAGTTTTATTCACTCAAATTTGTAACTTCAAATTCAATGATGTGCACCCTTTTAAAATTAATAATTGATCTTCTAATCTTCTTAGAAGGAATGCTAATGCAGACAGACAAATACACTTTATTCTCAATGCCTAGGGCTAAGAGAAAATTAGGAAGTAGCATTAAAGGAAATATAGCCCCTAGCATGGTGGCCCTCAGACAGGTTAAATAAAATACTAAATGGTTGGCCTACCCTTTTCTTATCCCTGAGTAGATTCCTTTCATGTTCTCTATCTGTAAGTGACTAATTAGTTTCATTTTCATTGAGTGGGATCTCCTTTATTATAAATTCTGAGAACGTATAAGTAAAGGAACAGTCTTTAAGGATGGTAACACAGCAGAGCTTGTCATAAGTGGACACAGTTCACTCCAAGAAGCAACTTAATTGAGTTTTATAAATTAATTAGTAGGATTAAGGAAAAGCAAAATGTTATGAAACATCCAGACATGATCTCACCAACCTTAGGCCTAAGGGGCAAAGGGGATAGGAGAAAAGTTAACTAAAGAAGATATAGTAGTTGTTACTGAGCTTCCCCTGGCCGTAGCTGCAGCCTACAGTTAACAAACAAACAAGAAAGAAAAGAAAAAGCTCAAGCTGCCCTAGGGATGACCCACAGTGACAGAATCATGCAAACATAACCTGAACTTACTCTTCTTTCTCACCCTGATCTCCTGACAGCGCCTCCTATGGCTGAACCAACAGAAGCCAGGTGATGGGGGAGCCTTTGATGCAGACATGGAGGTAGGTCTCTTGGGGCACCCAGTGCTCTTGAGGAGCAGGGATCTGAGAGGCCAACAGAAAGGGCCTGGATTAGAAGATGATTGTGAGTGGGTTAAGGCACTCATCTTTTTGTGGACCAATATTAGTTATATCCAAGTGATGAATATCTGATCATTATGCCCTAACCTGAAGGCTGTTGGAAGAAGAGATATGCTGTTAATAACATGCTCAGAACCTGAAAAGGCAATATGAACACCAATATGGAGTTCAGGTTGGGACCATACTTCATTCTATTCTTTTCTTTTCTTGTCTTGTCTTCTCTTGTCTTTTTTTTTTTTTTTTTGAGACAGGGTCTCACTCTGTCGCCCAGTCTGGAGTGCCGTGGCACAATCATGGTTCACTGCAGGTTTGACTGTCCAGGTTCAAGCAGTCCTTCTACCTCAGTCTCCTGAGCAACTGGGACCATTGGTGTACCCTACCACACCCCGCTAATTTTTGTATTTTTTTTGTAGAGGCAGGATTTTGCCATGTTGCTCAGGTTGCTCTTAACCCCCTGGACTCAAGGGGTTCTCCCACCTCTGCCTCTCAAAGTACTGGGATTACAGGAGTGAGCCACTCCACCTGGCTCATTCTAAGCATGGCTTAGATATGACCAACCCTGGGCCAAAACTGATAGGGCACCTCAGAAGGGAGCCCAACAGGAGGTCAGTACCTTTCAGGAGAGTGAAAAAGATGAAAACAGTGAAGGAAGAAGTTCTTTCCCAGTGAAGCTTCTTCTAGGGGATTGGAAATAAAAATGAGATCAAGAGGGCTTTTTTTTTTTCAAATAAGCTGGCAAAGTTTCTTTAAAGCCAATTAAACATACCTCAGATTGAAAATGATTTCAAACAGTGGTTTTCTCATTTCAAATCAGTGGTTTAAGGTTCATTTGTGAGAGATCAATGTAACCACATTTATCCTTGGCCTAGTAAAAAAAAAAAATAGTTACAGTAAAATGATTTTAGTCTTTTGAATCTGTGGGTAATGTGAGTGATTCTGACAGAATGGAAATTTCAGGCTAAGTGTATGAAATTGCAATTCAATAATGATGTGGAATTTTTTTTGGAAGGTTCATTTAATCTAAAGGCATGTAGGTAATTTATGTGCAAAAAAAATGTAAATGTGTTCCAGTAAATGATGTGACCCTGAAATTTTCATGAGGTGGGCTTCATCACATTTTCACAACCCAGTACACTTCCAGTGCTAGTTAAATAAATGCAGAAGGGTAAGGACTGTGGTGCTGACAGCAAGCTGTGCAGAAAGCAGCCCCAGCAGAGCACTCCTTTTCTGTTTTCCTCCTTTCAAGAAAGGGTGTCAAGCGTTCATTTGAAATTTGTGTCTTAATCTGTTTTCCATTGATGGCAGCAACTGAGAAGTTTTCAGCTGGGAAAAGTCAAGTCAAACCAGTTTTGCTCACAACAAGCATACAAATTGGCTATTTTTTAAAAATCAGAACTTAACCATATGCTTTGAATTTAGAAGTGGGATTAAATACTAAAAGGCTGTATTATCCTTAAATCACCCTGTGTGTGTTTGTGTGTGTGTGTGTAGTACTGTTCTCTCAGCACTCTGTCTTACAGGTGACCCTCAAACAAGGCAACATGACAGTTACCACAGACTCCTCTCATCCATCATGAGAACACTGTGATAGAATTGTCTCTTAGGGACGCGGAGGACAGGCTCTGAAAGAGTATGTACAAAGCCCTATAAAGCATATGGAAGATTTCAGTAAAGTATTTTTTAATAAATAACACTTGAATAAGTATGTTTTTTTAAAATAATAAAAAAAATGGGGTGAGAAGACTATATCGTGAAGCTTCAGAAATTCCCCATCAGCTACTATATATGAATGAGCAAAGTGTTCTACAGCCTAGAAATGCATGCAAGAAAAGGAATAAAGGGAAATCTCCCTAGATACCTCTTGAAGTGGTTATAAGCCTGGATGAATTCAAAAGTAGTTCTAGGCTGGGTGCAGTGGCTCATACCTATAATCCCAGCACTTCGGGAGGCTAAGGCGACAGGTCACTTGAGGCCAGGAGTTCAAGAACAGCCTAGCCAACATGGCAAAACCCTGTCTTTACTAAAAATACAAAAAATTAGCTGGGTGTGGTGGCACATGCCTGTAATCCCAGATACTCAGAAGGCTGAGGCCTGAGAATCACTTAAATTTGGGAGGCAGAGGTTGTAGTGAGTCAAGGTCATACCACTACACTTAAGCCTGAGCGAAAGAGGGATACTCTGTCTCAAAAAAAAGGAAAAAAAAGAAAGTTTAAAAGAAAAAGTAGCTCTAGAAGTGATTACTTCATAGTCTAAGTCCAAGGCAGATTTAGACACAAAGCTGAGGTTTCACCATTTTTTTCCCCTGAGTAGTATGCTTATGTATTTGGCATAAGCTCTGGGGTTCTCACTGGAGTTAAGGCCCAGAGATGCATGACCATGCTCTATGCTAAGTGAGCCCTGGCTGTAGCAAGACGCAAACATATTGCTGCCCTTCCCCATGCCCAGACAATGTATGTTTTCGGATGCTGGAAGTGAGGCTTATAGAAAATACCCTCATTGGGATGCTGAAGGTGCCAGTCAATCTGAGGTTGTTACATTACTTAATAACCAGGACTGTAGTGAGAAAAAGTGGTGTGTCCTAAGATGACCCACCCTAATTCTACCTTATTTCAGGGAGACCACTTATTTCTCCATGCTCACAGCCCCTGGGAACCACCATATATTACCCTTAAAATACAGGTGTGCCCTTTGCTCAATTTCTTATACATATTATAGGTAAGTTATTGTATTAGCCTGTTTCACACTGCAATAAACATACTCCTGAAGCTGGGTAATTTATAAAGGAAGGAGGTTTAACTGACTCATAGTTCTGCATGGCTGGGAAGGCCTCAGGAAACTTAAAACCATGAAAGTGATGGGGGAGCAGGCACCTCTTCACAAAGCAGCAGGAGACAGAGAAGAGCAAAAGGAAAGAGCCACACACTTATCAAACAACCAGATCTCATGAGAATTCTATTACAAGAACAGCATGGGGGAAACTGCTCCCATGATGCAATCACCGCCCATCAGTTCCCTTCCTTGACACATGGGGGTTACAATTTGAGATGAGATTTAGGTGAGGATATAGAGCCAAACTATATTATTCAACTCCTGACTTCTCCCAAGTCTCATGTCCTTTTTACATTTCAATACTAATTATGTTTTTCAAATAATCTCCCAAAGTCTTAAGTCTCTCTAGCATTAACTCAGAAGTCCAAATCTAAAGTTTCATCTGAGATAAGCAAGTCCCTTTTGCCTATGAGCATGTAAAAAAAAAAAACATTTGGAACACAAACATTTACCCAATGCCTGTACCCCCATTGTATCTTACTTCCAAGATACAATGGGGGTACAGGCATTGGGTAAATGTTTGTGTTCTAAATGGGAGAAATCGACCAAAACAAAGGAGCCACAGGCCCCATGCATGTCCAAAACCCAGCAGGGCATTCATTAAATCTTAAAGCTCCAAAATCTCTTTTTACTCCATGTCTCACATTCTGGGCACACTGATGCCAGGGGTGGGCACCCACAGCCTCAGGAAGCTCCACTCCTGTAGCAGAATTCTGCCTGGACATCCAAGCATTTCCATATATCCTCTGAAATCTAGGTAGAGACTCCCGAAGTTCAACTCTTGTCTTCTGCACCCTACAGGCCCAACACCATGTAGACACCACCAAGGTTTGGGACTTGCGCCCTCTGAAGTAACAACTTGAGCTGTGTGTTGGCCCCTTTTAGCAATGCTTGGAGCTGGAGAGGCCGGGATAGAGGGCACCAGGTTCTGAGGCTGCACAGAGCAGCAGTGGGCCCGGCCCACTATTATTTTTTCCTAGACCTCCAGGCCTGTGATGGGAGAGGCTGTGATGGGAGAGAAAAGAGTGAAGTGAAAGAGCCATACACTTATTAAACTATGAATTCCATCATGAGAACAGCATGAGAGAAACTGTCCCCATGATCCAGTCACCTACCACCAAGTCCCTCCCTCGATACATGGGAATTACAATTCGAGATGAGATTTTGGTGAAGACACAGAACCAAACCATATTAGTTATTGACCTGTAACCCTTCCCAAACCTGTGTTTAACTTTGAGGCAGAAACATGTGCTCCAAAGTCTTTGCATCTTGGTAATGTTGCAATTATCCAATAGCATTTAATAATCATTGGATTGATGATGGGAGAATGTTTGGGACAGTGCCTTATTGGGACACTGCTCTGGGGAATCCCCATTCTCACCCACACTAAGTAATTAGGGATATCTGGTTAGAGAGTGTCAGAAACCTGTGCCTGTCAGGGGGTTGCTTCTCTTTAATAGGGAACAGTGCCAGCTGCACCTCTCAGGTCAAGCTTGAGGTGGGCAGAAAAGCAAACTTGGGTGTGCATCCCTTTTCCTTTTCTCACAATGCCTCCAATGTCTCTGGCCATGGGCATTCACTGGACTGGACCTTTGGAGAAGAGGCAAGGGGAAGGATGAGAATGGTGGGAGGAATAGAGTGGAAACTTTGCTATCAAGAGAAAGATTACAGCCCTCCCCTAACTTCTGGATGACACAGTGAATGTCCATCTGATATCCATGGGCAGAAATGGAAGGGCATGGCTGCTGAAGGAAGGGTTATAGGCTTCTAAGTACAATATTTCTGGACGCTGTCCCTCTCCTCTGAATATTGGACAATTTCCTATCTGCATAGATACATTGAAATAAATTTCTGGAATACTTATTTATTAGACTATCAGCCATATTCTAGCATTAAGAATTTTGGGTTAAAAAGGTAAGCAATGGTTTGGACAAGAATTCCCAAAGCATTATGGCTGTGGATTCCCAAGATGCAACCTGTGGTTGCATTATGGCTGGATCAGACAGAAATCCTGATCTTTAATGTTTTAATGAGACCAGGAAGTATAGATGGGTTGGCCCTCCTGTGGCTTCCATGGCAATTTATATTTTTCAACCACTTATCATATTGTTTGGGATGATTATGAAGTTTTCACCTCACAGGGTGCATTAAAAATTAAAATGTTTGCACCAACCATTAGGATAATTAGGTAATGTTGCCCACAGTTAGAGGCAATTGATCTGGAGCTCCAGCCATGCAGACCCAACCGGTTTCCCTGGGGCTGAGCTTACTGAGTTGAACTTTTCCTGGTCTTTGAGAACCTCTCCATTGTGTTGACAGAAATGAAGACACTAGCCATTTGTGTCTTTTTGTATACTCAGTGTCCCTCCATAGATATATTTTATATTTATATGGTATATTTTATACCATACCTATAAAAATCTATGGTGGGAAACATGGACAGGTGAATGATGCTCTGCAAAGAGGTTAAAAGTGTCACTGAAAAGAGACTTGATTTGACTCGATGACACATTAATCCCCATCTTTGCAAGGTTTACTTACACTATGACTATCTTCCTTCTCATCTGATATACCTTTTTCCTAGTGCTGTGTGCATGGTACCTTGAGAGGACCATCATCACAGCAGTTCCTCTAGCATCATGGAGTCTCCCTATATCCTGATATTTCAAGAGACAATGAAACCATTCAAGAGACAATGCCTCCTCTTTCCTACACTGAAATCCCTATTGATTTGAAAGGCCTAATTGTGACTCTAAGATATTCTATCTTAATTGGAGAGTGTGATCAACATAAATATTTAAAAATGCAATTGATTCCAACCACCTAATGATATTTAACTTGAGTATGAAGACCCCAGACTTTGATTCTATATTAGCCAGGATAGGCCATAATATCGAATTTCATTTGTCATTAGGCTACATGTCCATCTACAGTTTGGCAAGATGATTCTCCTCATCACAGGCCCTCAGGAAATCAGGATGGTGGAGGCCCTATCTCCACATATGCTTTCACAATGCAGGGGTAGGGAAGAGAGAACATGCCAAATCACACACTGGTCCTTAAAGCTTGTGAATATATATATCACCGATTTCTTCCCACTTACATTTTATTGGATAAAAAAAGCCATGTGGTGATGACTATGTTCTTTAGAAGGTGAGGAGACACTGAATATTTGTAAACTGTAATGTAGTATACCATTAGCTGCAGGGCCTCATTAACAGAAAGAAGGCATTCATTAACTCATTCAGCAAACATTTTTGAGCACCTGCTATCTATTGGAACTGTTTGAGGATTTTACAATATGTCAAAAACAAAACATATAAAGATTCTTGCTTTCATGGAGTTTATATTTTAGTGACAGAAAAAGACAATACACAATGATACATAATACACAAGTGAATTACGTAGTTCATAAAGAGATACATGCTATCAAAACAATAATAAATTGTAGAATAAAGGTGGGGGTTGGGGAGTGGTGGATGAAGTGTCTGAGGAAGAGAAGTGGCAATTTTAAATGGAATTGTTAATGAAGGATTCACTGAAAAAGTCATGTTTGAGCAAAGGCTTGAAATAGGTCAGGGAGTTACCTAATTGTATATGTGATCATATGGGACCACTTAGGTTTCTACTTTGAATGCGTTAGGAAACACTGATGAGTTTTAAACAGAGGAGTGATGTGACTAACATGACTTCTGTTTTCAGAAGGAACTGATCTGTTGAGCATGAACTGTAGGGTACAGGAGGAAAATGAGGAGACTCATTGAAGAGCAATTTCAGGAATCCAAGTAAGACACGATGGTGGCTCAAACCAGGGTGATAGCACAAGA